ACGTTGGAATTTTAAAGGTGTGTGGACTTCAACTCCCAGAATTCCCCAGCCAGCACACCTCTTAAAGTTGATGAGGTTGAGAAACCCTGACTGAGGATTCAGAATTCCCCCCAGCAAGCCTGGCTGGGGAATTCTGGGAGTTGAAGTCCACACACCTTAAAGTTGCCAAGGTTGAGAAACACTTCTCTAGACAGACAGTAAAATTGAGCAGGCATCAGATCCTGGGCACGGAGACTTTGGATAGCAAAAATAGCAGGTGACTGCTCCAAAGTATCAGAAGTCCCAGGAGGTCAGAAGGAGGGGCAATGGGCCTGGCTGCCTAAAGAGAAAGAAATAGTCCATATATGCCATCCTTAACTCGGAGTATCCCAGATCTTTTGGAGAAATCCCGTGCCATTCGCCAGGCCAAGGATGAACGAACCTTCCACATTTTTTATCAACTCTTAGTAGGTGCTGGAGAACACACAAGAGGTGAGTTCGTCCGTTTCATTTCCCAAGCATCATGGAAATCCTTACCTTCATCCTGTGGCTTAGTTTCTTGCACTTAGAGCAGGGTTTCTCAACCTCATCAACTTTGTGTGGACTTCAACTCCCAGAATTCCCCAGCCAGCACACCTCTTAAAGTTGATGAGGTTGAGAAACCCTGACTTAGAGGATAGCAATAAAGCTAAAGAATGAGCAATTGATTGGTGCTAAAGACAGAAATAAGAGTACTCTGAACATTTTGCCTAATCTGATTGAAAGTAACTGACCAGAACAGTCATTCTAACCAATGAAAACAATTGATGGTACTACGTTGTATGTCAGAAGTGCAAAAAGTGGAGTGGTCTACCACTGTCCCTTTGGATGGAACCAAACATCTTCTTTTTTGCATGGGGTGATGGTGGTTTAAGGAGAAAAAGGGAGCCTTACGATTTACAGAAATCTAAAGCACCCTGCTGACCCTTAAAATTCCTCAACCTTGCTCCCCCAAAGCAGACCTTGGCCCATCTCAAATTTTGGAATGCTGTGTGTATCTGATGATTCCTAATAAGGATGAAACCAATCATATGCTGCTCTCTGGAGGTCAGTGTAACTGAAAACCTGTCACCCATGCCTTAGTCACCTCCCGTTTGGAGTACTGCAATGCGCTCTACATGGAGCTGCCCTTGAAGACCATCCAGAAACTGTAACTGCTCTAGAACACAGCAGCATGCACAGTTTTGGGTGCTCCACTGTTCACCCGAGTGACACCACTGCTGCATGAACTGCACTTGCTTCCAGTTGCTTCCTGGGTGCAATTCAAGGTGTTGGTTATCACCTGTAAAGCCCTACATGGCACAGGGCCAGGTTACTTGCGGGACCACCTCTCTCTAAGAGTATCTGCCCGTCCTAAGAGGTTAGATAGGGTGGGCGCACTCCAGGTCCCCTCCCTTAAATGTTGCCATCTGATGGGACCTCAGTGGTGTGCCTTCTCGGTGGCCACCCCAGCCCTTTGGAACAGCTTCCCACCTGAGATCAAAGGGATCCCTACCCTTTTAGCCTTCCAGAGGGCTGTGAAGACCTGGCTCTTCCCCCAAGCACTGGGCTAGGTTGGGGGTTGAGCTGTGCAGATGTTTGGTCTGGCACCTGGGGGGAGGGATACCTTTGTTTTTAACTATGTTTATGGATTGTTGTGAGCTGCCTAGAGTCATTGTATGAGATAGGCAGCCATGTAAGTCCTGTAAATAAATCAATCAAACCAAACAATATACTGGATATACACTCTGCAAAAATAGAATTCTTTTTCCTTCCCCAACTCCAAGAGTTATAAAATCTCATGTATGAGATTTTGACATAATGTAACATAGATCCAGGACCTGCACCATTGCTAAAATGAATGTACCATATATAGTAGTGAGTTCAATTCCCAGTGGAGGGTTTGAACCCCACGTCCGACGATTCCTAATAAGGACGAAACTGGTCATGTACTTCCTCCTGGAGGTCAGTGTAACGTGCTCTGTTTCACGCCCTTGCAGGAGAGCTGCTGCTGGAGCCATTCAATCAGTATCGCTTTCTGTCCAATGGGTACCTGCCCATCCCTGGGCAGCAGGATAAAGAGATCTTCCACGAGACCATGGAGTCCATGCGTATCATGGGCTTTTCGCATGAGGAGATACACTGTGAGTGGCTTTTTTATGAATGTGCATATATCTGGCGCATCCTGGACAAGATTAATGAAGTATCTGACTTCACATTCCATTTATGGTCATGGTAGTAGTTTTATTTATTATGTGCTTACAACTAAGCACGGTACAGACAGAGAATAAAATACTCGATACAGAAATATATTACCATCAATTATAACTTCCGAATATGAAATAGAGAGCCAGTTTGGTGTAGCGATGAAGGCATCAGGCTAGAAACCAGGAAACCCGGAGTTTTAGTCCCGCCTGAGGCACGAAGCCAGCTGGGTGACCTTGGGCCGGTCACTCTTTCTCAGCCCCAGAAAGGAGGCAATGACCACCCACTTCTGAAATGCCTTGCCAAGAAAACTGCAGGGACTAGTCCAGGCAGTCGCCAGGACTCAACACTGACTCTAAGACACAAAATATATGAAATGGGGGTGCTAAGCTAAGAGGTCCATGACACAGAATAATTTTAACCTCTGTATGTTTGAAAGGTAAATATAAAAATGCTTTAAAAGTAGTAAATGTTTGGGTGACTTCGCTTGAATAGTTATTAAATGTGAATAGATATTAAATTAAATATATTAAATATAAATGTGATATAAATTAAATTATAAATGTATAATTTATAATCAATTAATTATAAATAAAGTTATGCATATGAATTAAATTATAAATGTAAACATATAAATATTAATGTTAATTAAATATAAATGTGAACTGTGTAATTTAAATATAAATTAAATTTTGAAGTATTACACATTGTGTTGCCTGCTGTAATAAATTAGGGCAAGTTGGAAAAATTCCCACTTATTGCTGGACTACACTGATCCCAAATCCCTCTGGATATTCACAAGCAGGATATAAAAGTATTATCCATCCACAGTTAAATCTTAGTCCCCAATTCTCCTATGTGTTCATCTAATTGGTATTCTTAAAGTAAGGTAGAAGCTGCTGTAAACAAAGCCATTTCTGCAGTAAGAGATTTTAGTATTGCTTGAAAGTCCACAACTGTATTTTAAGCTGCAGGCAGAAATAAAGCAGTAGTTTTACACTGTAGTTAATGCTGTGATTTTTCTCCATTGTACTCCAGCAGTGCTCATTCATGTAGTGAAGGAGAAAATGTCAGAAGGGTGGGTGGGTGGGTGTATGTGTATAAGAGAGAGAGAGAGAGAGAGACTTGAAGGAACATCTGAGATGAAGAGTAGGTACCCCGACTTCTTTGCTGTGCTGAAACTTTACAACATTATGATTTCTCTTACTGTTTAATACAACGTGTGGCCCTTATGACGATCCTTGGGTTTGAAATATTTTGAATGCTGCTTGTTATTTAAGTCCCAGCCTGTTGTAATGAATGTCAAGCCTTAAATGTTTAATCAATCCAAAAATTAAAGCAAAATTTACTTTGGATTATGAGGACAATGGAGGAAAAGCAACAGAGCATGCATCTTTTAAATCTCCTGTAGCTTTGTTCTACAAAGCTTGGGCAGAGAGGCCTATTGTAATGCGCCGTATGACGAAACACATTCTTATGTTTTGACTTGCACTTCGTGCTGAACCTCTTGCAATGGATGAGTTTGAATATGGCTGTTTGCAAAAAGTGGAAGCCTGGTTTTGCTAAGGGTCCTCCTTCCACCCAGGTATGCTACGGATGGTCTCAGCTGTGCTGCAGTTTGGGAATATCGTCTTCCGTAAAGAGAGGAATACAGATCAGGCCTCCATGCCCGATAACACAGGTATTTCCAGTTACTAGCTTTAATTGGGAAACCACTGACTTTTCAGAAATGCTAGCAAGTAAGGACTTGTCTGTGGTCAGACCGCATCCTACCTCCTTATTTAAGAGTCAGTTCTAGAAGTAATAATGGGATCTTGTTAGTACAGTACAGGTGCATGGGGGACATTTTTTTGTTGTTGTATTGTTATAAAATACTGGTTTCCATTTTGGAGTATTTAAAATTTAACTTTCACAATGACTGCCATATTAAAATTCAGGTTTCTATCTAACACTCCTGTGGACTAGGAAATGCTTTTTGAAAGGGAGAAGGGAATAGGCATGGAATAGAAATGGAAGCTGATGGGAAATGATCTGACAAAGGGCTGTTGTTGGTCTCTTCTGTGCCTTTGCAGCTGCGCAAAAGCTCTGCCACCTGCTGGGCATGAATGTCACAGAGTTCACCCGTGCTATCCTTACCCCACGCATCAAGGTTGGCCGAGATTATGTGCAGAAGGCCCAGACAAAAGAACAGGTCAGTGGTGCTGATGATTGTGGCTGACATATTAGTTGGTGGCCATGAGGAACACTTGAAGGAGGGTTTGCCAAGATCAGTGTTTCTCAACCTTGGCAACTTTAAGATGGGTGGACTTCAACTCCCAGAATTCCCCAGCCAGCCAAGATAATAAGTATGTATGGAATACACGGGCCAAGATGAGTGGTTTGATCTCAGCTTCTCCTTCCCTTCCTAGGCTGACTTTGCTGTTGAAGCACTGGCTAAAGCCACCTATGAGCGGCTCTTCCGCTGGCTTGTGCATCGAATCAACCGTGCGCTGGATCGTACCAAGCGCCAGGGGGCATCTTTCATCGGCATTCTGGACATTGCAGGTTTTGAAATATTTCAGGTGAGGGAGGATCTGCTAGCCTAGAGACCCCATGCTGTTTTCTTCCTCCTTCCCTGCTCATTTTGACTTATATGCTTTCAGTCCTTTTCTTGAAATGTTGTTGTTTTTGAGCTTCTCTTTAACTAAACATGTAAGTTTCAGCAGAACAATTTTTCTCTTTCAGAGCTGTAGTTCTTCCCAATAGAGATTTTAGGCCAATTTCACCATTGGCTTCATGTTCTGCCAGTGACATTTGGAGAAGTAGTTTGTTAGATGTTCTTGGAAATGGGATGTTGGATTTAGAGTGGCTTGTTACAGTTCCCAACAATCCCAGCCAATATGGCCAGCACGTGCTAGAAACTATGGCTCACCAACCTCTGGAGGGCTACAGTTTTCTCATTTTTTACTAACTTAAGTGCTCTGTTCCTACAAAAAACTATTCTGTACCAGTATCCTCCCTTCTGCAATAGATCACAAGTCTGAACTGTATTTTTCTATCTAGATGCTCAAATATATTTATAGTACTAATAAATATAAATCAGCTTTCTCCAACCTGATGCCCTCCCAAGTACTTTGGACTTGAGTTCCCATGAGATATAACTAGAGGGCATTAGGTTGTGGAAAGAAGATATAAACAGTAAATTCATCAGGTAGAAGATCCTCAGTGAATGATCTCAACTAGGAACATCAGAAGCTTCAGGTAGAGGAGAGGAGAGGAGAGGAGAGGAGAGGAGAGGAGAGAGGAGGAGGAGGAGGAGGAGGAGGATAATACTAATACCTTTATCACCATGAAACAACAACATCTGCCTATCCCAAGTCCTTGGGAAGGACTCGATAGTTGGATAAAAATGCCAAATCCAGTCTAAACATCTGGCTGACTGTGACCAACAATAATAAATTAAACTTGCATGCTGCCTGACTCTCAGAGACTCTGGATAGCTCACAACAATCAAATAATAAGTGTCTTAGGAAGGAAAGGATTAAGATCAGTGTTGTAAAAAGCAATAAATACATAGATTTAAAAACAGAACTATAATAATTCAATAGCAACAATAATAGTTAATCAAGGAATTTTCTATTTTTCAGCAGCTCCATTGATGTCCTTATTCTAGGCATTGTCACCCACTAAACTTTAGTTGACAATGTGAATAGCAAAGGGGCCTATCTTGACCTATCAGTAGATTCATAAGGAGAAAACACAGTAAAGTGCATGACCTTCCCATCATCTGTTGAACCCCATCTGAATGTTCTCCTTTTTCCCACGTCCTCCCTTCTGCAGCTGAACTCCTTTGAACAACTCTGCATCAACTACACCAATGAAAAGCTCCAGCAACTCTTCAACCACACCATGTTTGTGCTAGAGCAGGAAGAATACCAACGAGAAGGCATTGAGTGGAATTTTATTGACTTTGGCTTGGACCTTCAACCCTGTATTGATCTCATTGAGAGACCAGTGAGTGACCTGGGATGCCACATAATTGTTATGTGGAGGGCAAAGTAAAGAGGATGGGGGCAGCTGTACCTCTTCATTGCATTTGTTCCCTGCTGGTGGTGTGGCCTGGAATGTGATGGCTCTTTGGGGTGGGGGTGAAGAGCAGGTCCTTAACTTGGATCGTAAACTTCTATTTTATCTCTAAATAACCTTGAGACAGGACCACAGTGGAATATAATTGTTTGCCTAACATCTTAGGCACGATGCAATTGATGTTCCTTTTTTTACTGCCTTTCCCCCCAATGCCCTGACCAAATTACCTGCTGTCCTTGGAATCTTGCTAATGATTAGGGTCTCACTCACTCTGTCTCAGGCAAACCCTCCAGGGCTGCTGGCCCTGCTAGATGAAGAGTGCTGGTTCCCTAAAGCCACCGATAAGAGCTTTGTGGAAAAAGTTATCCAGGAGCAAGGGTCCCATCCCAAATTCCAGAAACCCCGGCAGCTGCGGGATAAAGCTGACTTCTGCATCATCCATTACGCTGGCAGGGTAAGTCGTAACTTCTATTGTTTCCCTCCCCTTTTACCGGCATGCCCATATTTACTGGTTTTACCTAACTTCCCCAAGCTGGGACCTTTCAGATGTATTGAACTATGACTCATTATTATCTTGAGGCAGCCTGACCAGCAGCCATGGACAGTTGTAGTCCACCAAAGCTGGGGACCCAAAGTTGGGATTCCCTAGTCTTAGCAATTAAGGAAAATGCTGATGACTTACTATGACAGCTGAGGCTTTCGGGTTAAATTTCCACTCAAAGAATCTGAGATTACAGGGCTAAAGAACCCAGAGAGCAGTCGCTTTGGAGAAAGGATGATTTTCTATCAGTTTTTCTTCCATTTATTTGCACGGTTGTTTTGCTTCTTCTCAGAGTTTGTCCTGCTTGGTTGCAGGGTTCACGCGTTGTGCATTGTGCTTGCCTAGTTCACACAGCAAAGTTATCAGTGCTGATGTGATGAGAGGTTTTATTTTTCAGCCAACCTTTGGCAGAGCCTGATGCTGACTAGGGCTGAGTGGGAGTCACTGGCCCAGGGTCATTTACCGCCTTCCATGCTTAAGAGAGCACTAGAAACTGGGTCTCTTGCCCTTAGTTCAGCACTTTACACCACACTGGACTGTAATTCTGAATTCCTGGAGCTTTTGGAATTCCAGGAGGTGGAGTCTCAACACATCTGGATGATATTAGTTGAAGAAGTAATATAGTCAGTACAAGATTAGATGGATTTGGTGTAAACATTTCCAACGAAGTTGTTTAACATTTTGATCCTTCTTGTCTTCCTTCTCCCCCTTTTCCTTGTAAGGTTGACTACAAAGCGGATGAATGGCTCATGAAAAATATGGACCCCTTGAATGACAACGTGGCTACTCTTCTTCATCAGAGTGCAGACAAGTTTACTGCTGAACTGTGGAAGGATGGTAAGATGGTTGAAATCTGATTTAATCTGAGTCTGCTCGCCTTCATAATATTTGTTGCCTGTTAACAGGATGTTATGCTGATCGTAATGTATGTTAACATGACTTCTCGTGCTTGAAATCTCTGTCACTGCTGATACTAACCACTCTGCTATTTGCTGTTTCTCTTTTCTTCTTTCCTTGACCCACTTCTTCTGTCCCATAATGGATGATCTTGTGAAACCTTCTCCTTCCCTTCTCTCCACTTGCCTCTTCTGTCTTGTCCTGTCGCCAGAGATCCAGAATATACAGAAGGTTTATTTCTTTGACAGCTATGCCGTGGCATCTCAGGTTCCAGCAGAAAGTACGTTTCTCTCCCTTCAACATGCAAGACATGCCTGCATGTAGTCAGGAAAGATTAGAGGTCTACCCTAGGAAGTAGTGAGACATACATCTGTTCATCTCAATTAGAGATTTAATTTGATGACAATGCAGAGCTAAATCCCATTAACATAAATAGGGATGAACCCCAAGTAAAGGCATTTTAGAAAGGCAATTTAAAAATTGCTCATGAACTTGAAAATTAAAATTCAAAATCTTTCTCAACTCTCTCCTCTTTTGGACTGAAATGCTTGGCTAAAGTACCTTTGTCTCTCTTTATTCAAAAGTCTGTTTCCTGCACTTTTTGAAGCTGCTTTAGATTGAGGATATTTTGTGGAATTCCCATGGATTGTTCAGACACTTTTTATCATTGATTTGTAATCTTGCCATGTTTCCCAATTATGGTTCCTTGTTTTTCCTAGTGGAGAAAGTCTGATCAAGTAATGCAGTCTGTACAGTTTCTTAAATGATGGGGGGAAAGGCTTTCTCTTCAATGCTATTTTAGTGGGTCATAAACACAAAAAAATATACAGTATCTCCTAGTCTCCTATTGTGGAATGAAAATGGCAATTCCACATGTTACCTATAGTAGAAAACTAATGATTTACTAATACTAGGAACCAGTTAATAGATACTAGGAAAGTACCGTAAGATCCCTGTGACAGATGAGAGAAATCAGTTCCTTGCTGCTGGATAACACTTACAACTTTCTAGTTTCCATGCTGCTTACAATCTAAATTGTGTGGCTTTAGAAGTAGAGAGGGATGAATAGATGTCTGTCCAAAATCTTGAAGGACCTTGCTTTGAAGCCTTACAGGACCTAACTATCTCAGGGCCATACTTTTTTAAAAAAAAAAGAGTCCCCAAAGGGCAGAGGTTGTGACTGGGAATGTTATGACATCACCAGAGTGGGTGGCACCAATATTTTTGGCCAAAAGATCAGATCACCGTAGTGCTTATGGGGTGTTTTGATGCTTTAACCTCTCCAATCTCTCCACCCATTCTGGGAGCTACAAAGGAGTACTGGGAGGGTTTGATGTGGCCATGTTGCCTCCCCCCCCCAATCCAAACTATCTGGATTTGCTATCTGTACTAGTCCTACAGTTTTAAATGTAATATAGTTGAATAATTAGGTAACTTCTGCTCTCCGTAGGATAACTATCATAAATGAATGCTTACTTGGGATGGAGATTGGAAACTGAGGAAATTCACAACTTATTGGAATTTCAATATGGGGAGTAGGATGGAGATAGTGATTGTGAGATCAAAAGCCTTTTCTCCTTCTCCCTAGTGGATCGGATTGTGGGTCTGGACCAAGTAAGTGGAATGGGAGACCTCGCCTTTGGCGCCTCATACAAGACAAAGAAAGGAATGTTCCGGACTGTGGGGCAGCTGTATAAGGAGTCTCTCTCCAAACTTATGTCAACCTTGCGCAACACCAACCCCAACTTTGTGCGCTGCATCATACCCAACCATGAGAAAAGAGTGAGTGGGGGCTTTGGGGCCTGGGATTAAGTGTCTGTACAGGAATAGGAAGCCATGAAAGAAGTTGACCATATCTTTTGCTCAGATATATCAGAAGACCCTAAGATCTCCCCTGTTATACAGACAAGTGAAGGCTTTTTCTTGGTTAAGATACAATGTTGTTAGCTACTACCTCTTGGTAGTACTCTTCCTCATGAGAAAAAATCTTGACGGTGAGAGAAATAATTGGGCAGCTTGATTGTATGAAGAAAATTATGAGGAAGATAAGTGTGTTTGTATTGAAAACTATTGTGTGAGGCCTTTGATTATAAAAGAATGAAGGTGATATGAGAATATTGAACTTGAATCATAGGAAGCCTAGGGTTGAATTCTCACTCAGCCATGCAGTTCTGCAGAATTGATCAGCCATGTATCTTCAGCCTCATTTATCTCACAAAATTGTTATCAATATGAGTGGTATGCCTTGAGCTATTTGCAGAAAAGTTGACAATAAATGTGAAAAAGAAATAAGAAAAATAAGAAGCGATATTGTTAGTGGTTAGCTTTAGAATGTTAAGAAATTCCCATCCAGATTCTTCAGAACAGGCCCTATTTTGGCTCCCATAGCATTTTCTCACATGTCCTTCTCTTGACACCTGTTACAGGCTGGAAAACTGGAGCCGCATCTTGTACTGGACCAGCTGCGCTGCAATGGAGTCCTGGAGGGAATTCGCATCTGCCGCCAGGGATTCCCCAATCGCATTATCTTTCAGGAATTCCGCCAAAGGTACACCGTTTTGGTGATGGGCCCTCAGCAGAAGGGGACAGTGGTGTATATGCAGGAACACCCAAACAATTGTCAGTCATTTAGGATTTGATCTGCAGCCTTAATGCCCCTAGAATTTGGAGATGTTACTTGTGACTTCCAGTGGAATCTCAGGCCTGCATAGCATGTTTTGTTGTATGCCAGAGTGGTGTGATGGTTAAGATATTGGATTCGGACCAGGAAAAGCCAGATTGAAGTCCAACCTCAGTGAGAACTTTGGGCCAGTTGCTGTCGCTCAGCCTAATGATGGTAGCTGTTGTGGGTGTTAAAATGGAGGAGGGAATGCTCAACTGAGTTCGTGTAGGAAAGATGAAATAAAAATCAAAGGAATTAAAATAAATTATGTGCAGTGTGGTTGAATGTCACTTTCCAACTCCTTGGTTTCTCCTTATTCCTTAACAGATACGAGATCCTGACGCCAAATGCCATTCCCAAAGGGTTCATGGATGGAAAACAGGCCTGTGAACGTATGGTATGTGTGAGGTTTGCTTGCTAGAGCAACCAAGGCAACATGGGCTAAAGCTAGCTCACTCCCAAAGTGGTTTGAGTGGGTTCCTCATGCTCTTCTGTCCCTCTGCATTTTTGTCATTCCAGATCAAGGCTTTGGAGTTGGACCCTAACCTCTACCGCATTGGCCAAAGTAAGATCTTCTTTCGGGCTGGTGTTTTGGCTCACCTGGAAGAGGAACGAGACCTGAAGATTACAGATATAATTGTGTCTTTCCAGGCAGCTGCCAGGGGATACCTAGCTCGCAAGTGAGCACTGAGCAGGGACTGGGTTGAATTATGACCTGTGTCTAAAAGCATGGACAGAAGAATCTAAAGCACACTTCCTTACCCTAGTGGAGTCCAACTTCCTGAAGATCTGGATCATGACTTCTCCCTGTCTTACTACCTGATGATCTTTTAAACAGGAGACTGAACTAGAAGCATCACAGGCATAAAGCTGGGGGAGAGGGTGGGAGAAGCTTTGACCACTGGCCATACCAGTTAGGCTGTTATATTTGAAGTTTGGTAGCATCTGAAAAGCTACCGTTTCCTGATTCCCTAAAGGAGACATAATAGGACTGTCCCCTAAAAGATTAAAAAACAGTCCATAATTGATAACTTAACAGATTTGGCTAGTAGATTACATTCTCCCCCCAACCCATCCCCATTGGCTTTCCTGTCCCCTTTTCTTTTTAAAATCTGCAGCCTGTATAAAATGTTAGCTATATGGACCTTTTCTTTTGGTATGGGGAGAAAGGCAAGGAGTGTTGCAGTCACAGAACATGCAGACTTAGTTTCCTAAACGTGGCTGTCGGTATGGCGATCATGAGATTCATGGATGGTTTTTTTCCCCCTCCCCATCTCTCAGAGCTTTCATGAAAAAGCAACAGCAGATGAGTGCCCTCAAAGTCATGCAACGCAACTGTGCAGCCTACCTCAAACTGCGCCACTGGCAGTGGTGGCGTCTGTTTACCAAGGTGGGTCAAAATGGTTAGATCTGGAAAAAGTCGTCTGTTAATAGATAGGAGATGATACCGTTGCAAGATTGGGTGGTGAAAAGTGAGAAAGCAGACAGGAGTGGCTGGATTTCTGAAAAGCACATTGAGTAGCTTCTAAATGATGGATGGATGGATGGATGGATGGATGGATGGATGGATGGATGGATGGATGGATCAGAAGTCGGGCTAGCCATTTCACTTCTACTAAACTGAAGCAAATCAAACATCTCACAGATTTCTAGAGCCACAAGTCATTGCTCCAAATATAAAGTTCCTGGGACAGGACTACTTTATCCTTTTACAGATTGCGTAGAAGGGAACATTTTTAGTAACTGCTAGACTGGGAAGTTAGAAAAAATCTCAGAAGGAAGCAATGGAAACCCAATCTGCATGTGTATGAGAAAGCTGGTGACATCCTTGGAAAAGCCATGATATAAAAGCACAGTTTTGCACAGTTCCCTGGCCCTCTGCCACTTCCCTGATCCCTTCTGGTCATGAAATGCCGTCAGAAGGGAAATAAGTTTGGAATAGCATACTAGATTGAAATTTTGCACCACCTCCCCCACTTTCGTTTTCTCAACACCTGTGTTTTTTTCCAGGTGAAGCCCCTGTTGCAAGTGACACGCCAGGATGAGGTGATGCAAGCAAAGGCACTAGAGCTACAGAAGGTTCAAGAAAAACACACAAAAACCCAACTGGACCTTAAGGAACTGGAAAACAAATACCTACAGGTAAATAGGAATAATGGAGAACCAGCCATACTTCCCTTCAGCACACGATTCTTTTCTACTTCCAGTTGCAGCTCTTATCCATTCCCTTGTCACTTTTCTTCTATGACATTGTTCTTCTTATGGCCTCCTCTCTTGCCATCTCTCAGATCGTTTCATAATAGGTTTGCTAAGCTGCTCTAAGTTTCTCTTGGTTGGCCAGGAAACTTCTCGCTAGGTTCCAGTAGCGTTCTGCATCAAACCTCTACTCCATTCTGCTAATTACTTTAATTATTCCTGGTCTTAATGGCTCACTTCCCTTTCTCCTGCATCAGCCCTCATTATCTGAGACTTATGCTCCATTTTCTCAGCCTATCTCTGTCCCAGTCCCTGTACTCCAACAACTCTCTTTCCAGTGTCTTCTGTGAGGGGTCTGTAGGCTGGTAGGCTACACAGGCTTGGCTTTCCACGCAACATTTCCAGTTTAAAAGGACTTCAGGAAGCAAGGTAGAGGAAGACCTTCACCCAGGATGCTTAAATCTAGATCATCGTGGTACTCTGAACTAGAGCTTTCATGAACCTCATGCCTGGTCCTTTGATCCCACTTTCATGGCAGCTTTCGGAGGAGAAGGCCATCTTGGCTGAGCAGCTGCAAGCTGAGACAGAGCTGTTCGCCGAAGCTGAGGAGATGCGGGCACGGCTGGCAGCCCGGAAGCAAGAACTGGAGGACATCCTGCATGAGCTAGAGTCACGTGTGGAAGAGGAGGAGGAACGATGCCAGCAGCTGCAGGGGGACAAGAAGAAGATGCAACAGCATGTTCAGGTGTGAGAACTGGGGTGCAAAAAGAGGTGCAATAATAGAAGATGCTAATCCTGCTTGATTTTGTAAGTTTGATGCAGATATCAGTCTTCCAGTGGCCAAACATTCAGCAGATATAGCCATAATCTTACCTAGATCTTTCATTGCAAAGTAACAGGGTTTTTTTTTTCCATGCTGGCATTGGGGATCTGAAACTATCTTCCTAGAAAGGTTTGTTTCGTTCAGGCCCTTTCTAAGAGTATTTGTTCAGATAATCTTTCTGGGATATTAATTATGGTTTTTTTATTTTTTCCAAAGCACATGGTGAAGTTCATAGCTTATCTGCTACATCTTCACAAGTGATGTGAGGTTAGACAGAAATACTGTTTCATAGTTGCCCATTGAATTTACCGGAAGTCCCCGGGTTAAGAATGCCCGATTTACAGACGACCCGTAGTTAAGAACGGAGCCTACTGTAGTAAACTTCGAGTTAAATACACAATGGTTTGAATTAATTACACAATACTACTTACACAGTATTATACAATAATACTGTTCTGGCTTACATACAA